TATGACTACTCCAATTAAAATAGAGAATACTAAAAACACTACTAAGAATTTAGTAAGTGTGAGGATTGCTTTTTTACTTACAAAATTGCGTATCCAACTGAAAAAGTTTAGGAAGTTTATCAAAATAAATACTGCATGCGATGCCATATGTTCTGATGAATGTAAAGCCTAAAATCCAACAAATGGAATTTGCATAGCCAATAAAGTTCCTAATATGTAAAAGACATTGTAAGCCACTTAAATTCTCTGATTAGAGCGTCCTGTTATTAATAAAAATAACACAAATATTGGTATTATGTTTATAATAAATGCATAACCTCCCCAAGAAGCAACCATATAGAAAAATCTAATTATTTAAATTTAATTTACGCTAAAGCTGTATATACACCCCATAAGATTGATCCTGTATTGACAGTCTTTAGGAAAGTATAAAATGTAAACACAAGAGCAAAAATAGATACTCCTTCATTATCATATGATCCTGCCACACTTCTACTCATATAAGAAGGCACTATAGCAACAAATAGAGCTGATAATAATCCGGCCTCTGATCTCTTTGTTATTTCTTTTGTCATTCCATATGCTGCTAGACTTGTAAATGCTGAAAAGATTGGAGCCAAAAAGACACATACATTTCTAATATCTATTGGAATCGATAGCTTGTGCAATACCCAATATATCAAACCAGAGGTCATCATTAAACCTGGATACCTGATTAATATTATGCAAATCATACACTGTGCCTCCAACACTTCTTCCAAGAGGATACCATGATTCTGAATCATACCAATTCCATAATGCATATGGGCCTTCCTTCACTAAATATTAAGTTGTTCTGTAATTAAACCATGGATCAAACTCATGAATGATAGACTCATATCTGATCACTGAAAACACTCTTATTAAACAAGAGATTATTGCTATTGACATTAAAATTGTCATATTGAACACTGGGGCCCATTTCAAAGTTGACTTGTGCACCTTGTACTACAACGATTATTGGGTCTCTTCCTCAGAACTCATGAATAAATTAATTAAATTATTAAATGATAGACGAAATCAAAAAAAAGGTTAAATACAATCAATAATGTCCATATATAGCTACAATTTGTAGACATATGCTTGATTTCGATTTTGAAAAATTATGCTCTGTTACTCTTTCAAATCTTAATGTCTATGCTTGTCTCATTTGTGGCAAATATTATTAAGGCAAATCTATTAATACCTAAGCTTATATTCATTCACTTGAATAAGATCACCACCTATTTATGAATCTTCAAAATACTAAAATATATTGTCTCCCTGATAATTATGAAGTTGTTGATCATTCACTTGAAGATATCCAATATAATCTGGATCCTAAATTCAATAATCTTAAAGAATTGGATTATAATAGTGAAGAATCAAGAGCCTTAGATGGTACTACTTTCCTGCCTGGATTTGTAGGCTTGAATAATCTAAGTAAATCAGACTATTTCAATGTTGTTATGCAAGCTTTATGTCGTATCAAACCATTAAGAAATTTTATGATATTCCTTTAATTTCAAAAAAGTGCAACAGAGCCTTTTGATTATAATTGTCTTTTATCTTAAAGAGTTTCAGAATTAACTAGAAAAATCTGGAATCCTAGAAATTATAAAGGTCATGTAAGTCCTCATGAGTTACTATAAGCTATCACACTTAAAAGTAATAAATAATTCAAAATCGGATAACAATCAGATCCAATGCATTTAATAATTTGGTTTTTAGATAATCTCAAAAAAGAATTATTGCACATCAATAAAATAAATACAATAATTTCTGATTGTTTCCAGGGAGAGCTTTAATACGAATGGTACAAACCTCTAAAAAATGCTATCGGGTATCAATCCACTCCAATGATTGAGTAAAAATCTTTCTTGTATAATATCTCACCTTAAATTACATAGTTATTTATCTCTAGATTTACCTTCTACTCCACTCCAAAAAGATGGCAATTAAAAAGCGCTTATTCCTAGTATATCCATTTAAGAATTAATCAAAAAGTATGATGGTTTTACCAACACTGATAGTGCTGATGGCCGCAGAAGATACACTATTACTAAGTTCCCAAAGTAATTTCTTTTTTTATATTAGATACTTGATTCTTCATATGAAGAGATTTATCAAAAATAATTTCTTTATGGAAAAGAACCCAACTATTGTTACATTCCCATTAATCGATTTGGATTTAAGTTAATGTAAGAATCACTATTATTTTAGGCTTAAACTTACAGTAATAAAATATTAAATATAATCTAATAGCTAATATTTGTCATGAAGGAACTGCAAAAGTTGGAATTTATAAAATACATGTTAAAAATGAGGCAAATAACCAATGGTTTTAGATTCAAGATTTACATAGATAAAATATTGTTCCTTAATTAATTAGTGTAAGTGAAGCTTATGTATAAATTTATGAATTATAATAATAACAACAATGATTCAATTAACAAATTTCTCAATTACTTCACATTAAATTAAAATCATAGTCATAATATCCGAATGATTTTTTAGTGATTTCAACTGCTCAAGTTATTGATTCTAATTTATTATTTATTTTTGATATGGTTTTTACAAATTATTAGACTAAACAGTATCTTATACTATCTATACAAATTAAATATTATTTAATTTTTAATTTATTTTACTTTCTTACAAATATAAGTCTCTTTACAATTATTACAATGACTTTGGAAGCTAATCTGGTGAAGTTTGCATAATTTTAATTGAAATTTCTTTCAACTATGATCCTAAAGATATTCCATCCTCTTTTAGTTATTTCTATAATAATTCAATTTTATACTATCACATTATTTTTATCTATCAATTCAAGATTCAATTTAAACTTTTCCTCATCTTATTTATATTTTCGGATTGATTAATCTTATGAATCATTTTATGTTTATTTCAAAATATGATACTCTTCAATAATACTCTGATTACTTTTTTGCCTAAAATTATCATAAGTCAATCTCATACAAATCATCAAACAAAGATTTTAACTGATCATGATTTTGCTTTAACGATTTGTAAGTATCTTAGTATTCATCTTTATAATTAACAGCTTGGCTAGTAGTTTCTAATAATTTCTCTGTTTTCTTTATTAGATCTTTCATCTAAGTATATATTTATCAAATTCAATTTATACCTCTTATTCTTTATTTTAAAGTGATTTCTATGTAATTTGTAAATTAAAATTAGTTTCACCTAATTATTATGTTAGAACCTTGATTTATTATTCTTAATCTTTTATTTTTCCATTGAGTTTGAAAATTTAATCATTCTTCATTGATAATTCATCAATCTGTAATTAAATAATCTTCTCAGAATTTAAAGATGGAGATGTTTAATTAAATTCTCTTTTCTGAGTTTCACTTTACTATTTTAAAATTAAATCAACCTTTTTCATATTTGATTAAGGAGTTGTAACTAAATCAAAATTTTGGTTTGAACCTACCATAACTTATTACATCTTTTTAATCTATTTATTAAGTTAATCAATTGATTTATTACTATTTTTATCTATCAATTATTTATTCTTTAATTCTTCAACTGTCTCATGCATAATTGCAATTGCATCCTTTATTAAATTCTTAAATTATGGAGGAGGTTATTCTTATAAAGAACTTATACTATCAGTAATCTTAGTTGAGTTTAGCTCTTAAATTAGTAAATAAATCAGATATTTTAATAGGATAAGATCTGTACAACGATAAAAATCGAAACAACTGTTGTCCAAACAAAAACACTTCATTTTAGCAATTATTGATGCACATGAATTGTGATTATTTTCTTTTGCAAATTTAAAATTCTTTAACTTCTTTTCAATGCCTATCATAAGTTATTTAACATTCTGGTTCATTATAATATATTAAGAGTATTTCTAATGAAGTGAATCCGAATTATTATCTTCATCAGGAATGTTACAACAAGATCTATTTTTCTCTCTCATTTATAACTTAATTCTATCAGTTATTCTATCAGTTTCGTTATAAATAGAGCGTACATAGGAATCAATCATACTTTTTTTTCTAATTGGAGATATTGTTTCATCCTGCTTCATATGAATATTTGAAACTTTTAAAAGTAATTTGTTAGTTAAGTTATGATTTTTATAGTCTTCTATTGAACGATTTGAGATTTACATATAAAGAAATGTTAGATTAACAAATAAAAGAGAAAATAATTAGTTATTTATTTTTAATTATTATTTTATTTGCTAGAACAAAATTTTAAAAAGAAATTAATTTTCGCTATTAATGTTTACTTATGTAAACAACTTTAGCTTTCTGAGAAATATCTTAAATTATGCTTAAAATGAAAATATATATATTTTGACTAGGTTTGTTTGGTTTTCAATTATAAAACAACAATACTATTAAATTCTGAACGAAATTGTGAATTATTGAAGTGATTCAAGTAAATTTATATTATATATTATTTTAATATGATCTTTCAAATAGTATTATTTATTTTAGATTAATTTAAAAAATGAATAGTGTGTTTAAGTGTAGACAACATAATTAAGTGGCCATATACATTAATATCAAACCTTTAGCCAAAGAACCAGTTCTTTTGTGTTAAAGATGCATTTTATCTAAAAATTACACAGCTAAATTATTAGAAGAATTTTTGTTATAAGCATAGCCTATATTGGGTTAATATTTATCATAGGATATCCTAGATTTTGGGTTTAATAAAAAACAATTTGAAGATTCGATAGAGAAATTGAGAATATTTTTAAATGAGACATTTAAAACTAGGATTAACTCTTTCGTATAAAAATTAAAATTTCAATTTGAAGAATAAAAATAAATACTTCAATATATAAAAAATTAAATTATACGCTACTAAAAATGTGGTCAAAATTAAACATTTCTCTTAGATGATCAAATTGAAGATTAATTAAGATATTATTTAAATAATCAAAAATCAAAAAATCCAAAGTAGAAATAGATTGATTATTTATATGGATAATTATGTTAAACAGCTACTTAACCTCCATTTATAAATATTCCTCAGATATAAGATGACTTTCATGAAATTTTAGACTAATTTGAAGAGAAGATTAAATTGTCTAAGTAATTGGAATATCCCAATTATAAAATATCTATATTTTCGCCTGAAGAAGCACAAAATATTGACATTGATGATTTCAACATTTCTAAAACTTTAGTTTCAAATAATTATTATCCATAACTCACTACTTTATCAGATTCAATAGAGAAAGTAGAGTTGATTATAGATAAACCAATAGATTTAATTGGTTTTAGTAAGTATTAACAGTTAAAAGAATTGTACATACGATTTGAAAAATGTAATGTAGGAATCACAAGATAAATAATGATTCCAAATCTTTAAAAATTGTCATTAGATTTAAAAGGGAATAAATTAAATAAGTTTGATTAGTTATTGATTCCAGATACAATCATTGATTTTTCTTTGGATTTGTCTCTCAATTGTTTAGATGAAAATAGCATTTATTATATTGGTAAAATTTACATATTATAAATTTGTAGGATAAACAATTGATAATTTAAAGTTACAACGTTTGTCTCTTAATTTTAATGGTTTTAGTTAATATCGTAATACTATTTGGAGTACAGGTATTATTTATAATTAACATAATTTAAGGTTTAATTTAATTATGCAGAAATTTGTTTTCGTAACAATTGAAAATTTTGCATTTAGGTTGTGGCAGATGCAATATTAATGATGTTGGTATTGAATTTGGTATTATCAAATTATTAAATAAATAAAGACAATTAGAAGAATTAAAGTTGGATTTGTTTTCAAATGAAATTACAAATTTAGGGGATTTGGCTAAAGTAAAAATTTATTCATTATTTAGGCTGTTAACTCACTTAAAGAAGTAAAAGTAAATGTTAATCAAAATCCGTTATAAGACTATTTGCATCTTGATCCACTTATTTTTTCTACATTAAACTGTGAATAATTTAAGAATATTAAAAAAAATGAATAATCATGATAATTATAAATTGCCTTCATTAACAAATTCAGAATAATCAATTTAAAATCATTTCAAATAATTCTCTTAACCTGTTAGAGAAACATGGTATTAAAAAAACTCAATAGATAACTACTCTTCTAATTAGATTGATATAAATGATCTTCCTAATTTTGAGATTATTTCTCCTGATAAATAGCAATCTAATTCTCAGTTTGATCATGAGTTTCCTCCATTAGATTGTTCATTTAAATAGGAGAAGCTGAGTTTTCAATACAAATAATAGTAACAAGATCAATAATAAAATATATATAAAAAAAACACTAACAAAGACTTTGAATAATATTATATAGATGATTAACCTAAATAATTGTTTTAATAAGAATCTTCATAATTTTTATAGATTTAAACAGATCCAAAACAAAAACCTAATTTTTTGTATTTAAATTAAGAATAAATATCACCTTAAAAAAGTCGTTAAATTAATTATGCTAAACCTTAAAAAGAATTAACAGCATCAAGTCAAAAAGCACAAAATAAATCAACTTCTAAAACACCCTAAAAAAAGCAAAATCATTAAGATTCATAAAATAATATGAAGTATATTATTTTAGAAACTAATGTTTCCTCAAATAAAAAGAAATTTATTTGTTAAAATCCTGCCCCAAGTTATATTATTTTAGATTTTACTGATAAAGAAAATCCAAAATCTTTATCGAAATAAACAATGCAAGTGTAACTTAGTTTGAAAGATTTAATGTTTTGACTATTAATCTAATTTAAATTTGATAAAAAAATAAAATACAATCCTATTATCATTTGAAATAACATATTAACATGATATATATGGATGATATAATAAATAAACCCAATAACAATTTAATGCTAAACTATTGATAAATTATTTTTTTAGTTTTTTAGTTTGCCTAAGATTGTTTATTAATTTAGTTTTATCCTATACATCTTATCGATTTCATTGATAAAAATTTATTTATAGCTCTTTAAGTTATTATTTCTTATGATTGCTTATGCTCATTTTGTTGGATTAAACATTATGTGTCCTTTACTGAACCAAATTTTTATCTTGGATTTGATTCAAGTTTTTTTTTTAAATGTTCAGACAAATCAATAATTATTTTGATTTTAGGTAATGTTTCTAGAATTTTTGAATATTCCTTGGTGGAAATATATGTTTCTCCATCAAATAATTATTAAGACTGTTTTATAATTTCAAATTCTTTTTTTTTTGATGCAGTATTTGCATATAATTTGATTTCTCTGAATCCCATTTTCAAGGTTTTTTCTTGGAATAATTAGATTATTCTTATGAGATAAAATTTTAAAAATTTACTCTCATATGCATAACTTGATTATTGCATCTATAATTAATATTAATAAATATTAATAAATTTCATTTTAGTGATTTAGCAAATTCTAATCCTTCTCTGTTATAATATTCATTTTAAATTTACTCCACTTTAGGTTTTCCTTCATCTAATGTTACCTCTTGAATTTGGATTTACCCATTAATCATTTATTGATTAATAACAGCATTTAATTATTCAGAAAAATATGAAAGTAAATATTTATCAAAATTTGTATCAAACCATTATTGAACCTTTGAACAATCCATATGATTATGGTCGGTCAAACCAATAGAAATTAAGAAAAATATTTCTTCTTCTGTCATCAAGAGAATCTAATTATTTTGATTTAAAATAGATAATGCTTCTTCTATTGATTCTTTTTAGACTTGAGTATCTAAAGGTTGGACAAGCCTAGCTTCCCAATTTTAAAAGATTGTATTTATACATTATTCTTGAGGTATATGATAGATTTGATTGAACCTTTATATTTTGAGTAAAACAACTTAAGCAACATTCATTATTTTAATTAAATTATTATTTGTACTAATTAATAGAAATATTTCTTCTTTTTCTAGAGAATAATTCAATAAATATAAAAATTTTATGTCTAAAGTTTGAGAACTTTATGTGTAATCAAGATTATTTAGAGTTTAATATTAATTGGAGGATTTTGTATTGATGAAAAGTATATAAATTACTAACAAAAAGATTGAAAAAAGAATTCAAGAATTAATAATAAAAATTGGATATAAAGGTTAAGAGGAAATTTAACAAACTTAAACTTCTTCAAACTTGCGATATAAAACTTTAAAAATGAAAAATAAATCTAGGTTCAATATATAGGAGACAAATTATGTTTTTGTACAATTGGATAGATTCTTGAAAAAAGTATAGAGCTAAATAAAATTGAAAATATAAGTTATACTTGAAAATAAAAAATGTAATTTATCTCTATATCAATTCAATTCAGAAAGATGAGATGGAAGAAAATAATAAAATAATTAATTATATCAACAATTAGTTTTATAGTATAATACTTATGTAGAAAATTTACTTGAGTAAAAATAAATAAAAAATTATGTTCATCCTTATCAATATCTGAGGAGTTATTTCAAGAAAATGTGATAAAAATGATTCAGAATCCAAGTATTAATTTATAATTCAAAATTATACTTATTAAAAAATGTAGAAATTAATGAGCTAATTAGAATAATCTATATATTAATTAATGGGAACAATTGCTTAATACAAAAATGAAAATGACAATAAATTATAAATAGTTAAACAATTATCATTTTAGAGTAAAAATTATTTGAATAAGTGATAAATCAAGATAGTACTCTCATTTAGATATTCATCAACTCTATAGGTTCAACACAAACTGGGCAAAAAAGATGTGTTTGTAACCATTTTGTAATACACTTTTCATGAAAACGATGCCTAGATAATTAAAGAATATTTACATTTTATTACAAGGTAAATCAATAAAAGTTGTCATTTATTTGATTTATTAAGAACAGAGATAACAAATTTCAAAATCATAATTCTTTTTCATTTGTTTAGGAATATTTGCTATAATTTCCTTAGTTTAAAAAGATAAATTACTTAACTTGACTAATTTTTATCTGAAACTAATAAATAATTCATAACAACAGCACTAATACAAAATCTAAAAGATAAAAAATATATTAGTTTGAATGAAAAAGTAATTATTCCTAATAAAATGAATCCATGAAATGTTGATAATACAATATCAGATTAACATTCGATTCCTAATAGTAAAAGTCCCCAAAAAATCAAGAATAGATAGAATCTAAATAATAAAATAAATTTTATACAATTCATTGTATTGATGTAATTTAACATATTAAATAACTCTTGTAGGTTAAGGATCATTTTAAATAGCTACTTAATTTTCCCATTTCTCAATTTCTTTAATCAATTATCCATAGTAAGAATGTCTTCCAGCCATTGGATATTTTGACTCTCTTTTAATTAAAGTAGGTCTTTTCTTTGATAATTTACTCTCATATTTAGTTGTAACTACATTAACAATTTTAAAAGTTATTCCAATTTCTATGCTCTCATAAATGAAATTTAATATACATCATGTATAAACATCAAAAGAAACCAAATAATAAATTTGCCAGAACAAGTCTCTTGCAAAATAACATTAAAAAATGCTATAACTTTAATTAATTCTATAATTAACAAAGCCCAATTTAGCAATTTTGATTCTTCCATTCTTTCTTCAATAACTATGTGAAGGTTTTCTTTGACCATATCTAAATTATTTTTTACAACACATGGAGTCAAATATTCAATATATATTTATTTCTTTTATTAGGGAATTTCTATTTATGGTTCAATTGCTGGAATATCATTTTCCTCCAAATCAAATTTTATGGTTGGTAATTTTTTTGGTTATAGGTTTGTACTACTTTCAAGAAGCTTTTGAATAATATCTTCTTTTCTTCGATCCTCATCTATTGAATCATTTAATGAAAAACTCTTTTTTGATCTTTATTTCTTCATTATAAGAAATTTAGAATTAATAAAAAAATATTTGTTCCATTCGATATTTATTTTTAATAGTATTATAAAAATTTTTAATATTTTTCCTTCAAAATGAGTTCGAACAGATTGAAAGAAATGAGAGAGAATTTTCATCTAGAAATAAGAAAGTTAAGTTTGGAATCTTAATTTAGATTGAAACGGTTGATCATTACTCCAATGCAATAAAAACCTATTGAAAAGTTGAATAACATAGTTGAAAAGATTACAAGATCATAAATTTTTTAGAATGAAGAATATTAAACAATGAATTAGTTATTGGATGAGATCGAAGAAATAGTCATTAATGATACTTCATCGATAATCAAATGGACAGAATATATAACTATAATTAAATCTTTAGTTGATTAAATGCAAAAGGGATACTTAAATCCTGAACAAACAAATATTGCAATAAAAGCTGCTAGTTGTTTTAGAAATTTGCTAAAAGCATAAAAACCAACAATTTAAATGCAAGAACAAATTAATTAAGCATTTGAAATTTATAAGTCTTGGATAGAATCTGATTCATGTCTATTATCATAAGCTGTATTATAGTAATATTTGAAGATTAGGGATTGAAAGGAATGAATTAACTTGCATATTTTCAACATCCAAAGTTAAACTAATACGATTAGGTTTAAAGCATTTTAATGACACTTTAAATAAATCCATACAATGAACAAGCTTTAAAATTGTTATCTATAATCACTAAAAATGTTGACGATGATAATCAGGTAATAGCCATTTTGAGATAAGCTTCGAGATTAATTGAAACATGCGATTCAAATTGTAATTATTACTTAAATTATTATTAGTAAGAGAAAAAGGTCTAAAAATATTTGAAAATGCTAGTAGGAATATTTAAAACATTCAATTTATATTATCAATGAAGGCAATAGATTCTATTTTAGATTTTGTTTATTTCAAAGAAAAAAATATTTCAAAAATTTCTATGACCATTTTAGTAAATTTATCTTATACATCGGATGTTGAAGATTGCTAAAAATTATTAGATTTAGGAATTACAGATGTGATTTATAAATTGTTGAAAAATTCTATTTTCACTTATAGTAGAATATTTGGTAGCATGATTTTTAATAATCTTATGGCTTCATCTCATTTGATTCTGGATAAGGTGATTTAAAATTTAAGATTACTTGAATTGGTATTAGATTTATTAGAAACAGACGTTGTAGATGTAAGAAGAGAATTGTTTTAAGCATTTCGTAATTTTTTGGTTGTTTGCACATAGCAGTAGTTATTAAATATGATAGATAATGGAATGATAGATTATTTAATTTTGGGTCTTGATGATATAGATACAAATATTATATAACTTGCTATTGAAAGTATTTTAAATTTTGATATGTTTAGCTCTTTATTTGACAATGAAAAATTTTGTTTCCACAGATTACTAATTAGATATTTATTATAAATTTTCAATAAAAAATGTGGCCAAAAAACTGGATAAATTATAGTATTCTGAGAATGAGTAAATCTATTAAATGGTTTCTCGATTTATTTAAGAATTCTATGATTAAGAATTTGATGATTCAGATTGTTGAATCATGATTAAATAAGTGTTATTTTTATTTATTTAATGAATAAGAATGTTGTCTTTATATTTAAATCTCCTGTAACATTAGCTGGTGATCCAATAAATGGATAATGTTGTGTAAGAATTACTTAAGAGATTCAAAAATGTTTGATTACCTTATCATTTAGTGCTAAATAATATTCTAAAATCATAGAGAAATAAAAGGTAAACTAAATTAATGTCAAATTGAGATTTTGAATAATAATCCAAGTTTGATACCAGAAAAGTAAATAGAGAAAGTAGAGAGAGTTCAAATATCAATGGATTCACCAAAAAAAACTTAGAAATAAAAGAAATATGAACTTAATGGAAATGTGATGTATAAAATCATAAAGTAATATGGGGAACGAAGAATGTTAATTAGTTCCTAAGATTTATTTAAAGGATAAGTTAATCCAGGTGACTATAAATTTTTCTTTGCATTTCCAACATTGGGAGATATGTCATCTAGTTTCTAATATACAAGTTAAGATGGTATAAATAAGATATAAAATGAAGGATTGAAATCTGGAAAATGCAGCTATAAAATTATACTTTAAATAGAATAACCAGATGAAGGTCTTACAATTCTAAAGGAAAGTGCAGAAGTATATATAAATGCAAGAGCGTAATATAGTGATCAGATTTAAAGATAAAGTGAAGCAAATATTTCATAATTTTTTTGCTTGAGTGGAGGAATCGTCTATTTGTCTATTTAATTGAACAAATCTAATTTTACACCAGGAGAACAAGCTATAATTGAGTATTAGCTTGACAATTCATTTTCACTTAAACCAGTAACTAGGATAGAAATAAGACTATCCAATAAATTAGTTTTTATTGATGATGATTTAAACTAAAGGGTAATATAGAATTAAGCAGTTTATTAATAAAATCTAGCAGGAATTAATTAAGGATAAAGATTACAGAATTAAATTGTAAAATTTGAAATACCTAAAAACTTGAAAGCTTCTATAAAAAATGAAACAATTTCGAATTAATATTTCATATAAGTAGAAGCTATCTTAGTAATTAATATAATTAACTAAATTTAGGATCATTTTTTAATTAGCTTGTCCAATCCAGTTCTTTGCTAAATACCTATAAATATCTAAGAATCTCGATTCTAATAAATAATTAATCTGGATGGTTGGAATTTTGTTCCTATTCTAAATGCTAGTGTTAATGCTTTTTCTAATCTAACTGTTCAGCAATCATTTATTCCAACATGATTATTTTTAATTAATTCATATACTTGAATGGATAAAATAACATAGACATAATTTGATTTAACAACATTCCAAACTGATTATTTGAGACCTATTCCTAACATTCTCAACTCAGAATTTTAATGGAATGATAATATGGCCATAATTAATGTATAATGGAACTATTCTCTTGAAGTCAATTAAGATAAAGTTAGCCAAGTTAGAGAAATCATACAAAATACATGCACAACTGAAATACGTGATGAAGAATAAAAGGTGCTATTACACACCATTAATTATAGATTTTAATCCAATATCTATAAAATGAAAAAGACATGCTTAAAAATTGTGGATTCACTTGTCAAAAGCTACCATTAATCATAGAAAAAAATAAAGATATAGCACATTTTTTATTAATATCAATATGTCATTTAGATGGATTTGAAGAGTAATTAAATACTTAATAATATCCTAGATTCTTAGATGTTTTTATTCAAACTGATGTCACTTAAAATTCCTTAGAATTATTTGCTTAACTGTTTGGAGAACTTAAATTACCTTAAGAATATATCACCTAGTATATCAATTATTGCATTGAGTTTTGCAACAATATTAAAGTATATCAATCAATATATTTAGGAAAAATAATCGTAGAATAAACTCGTTAGATATGTATCAATATTTATTTAATAAATGCTTAAATAAAAAGCATTTGCCACTAAAGATGTCTTAACCAACGTAACAAATTATTTAATTTAGTTATAAGCCTTTTGTATTGAGTTCTCTAAAGTGGGTGAAGTGTCAAGACTCTTTAAATTAGTTAAAGGATAAGAGCCAACAACCTAATGATAAATACCATGTTATATATGTTTTGTAATTAGTTCCTTCTATATCTCGTTTCAATTAAGGTTCAAATATATAAATAAGTATATATACTTTTTGTAACTTTATTCATTTCTTTAAGATTAATTTGGCAAAAAAAGTTTAAAATCATCATTATACAAATTTAATTAATGAGAAACTCGAAAAATTCATAAAGAATTTTAAGGATTTGCTAATAATTTTTGAACACTTTAATTCTAAATAGTTCTAAAATATATCATTACAACCTTATATACAAAAAAAACTTCTTTTTACATAAATATTTTTAGAATTTATGGAGTTGATAATATTCTATTTAAGGTGTTTGGATTAAAAATAAATAAAATATTTATTTGTTTATTTTTTTAAGTAATATACAATTATCTATACTATTGTGCAGATAGAACATTTATAAAAAGATGTTTAAAAATAAAGATTAATTTCATTTATATCTACGTGATTTGTGTTGATTAAAATGTTAATTTAAAAAAAATTACCAAATGATATTGAATAGAAGATAACAAAATTTATTGTAATTTAATTTCTGAAAATATTTATACAAAAAAATATAAGATTAATCTGTGAAGATTCATACTAATATAATTAAAATTAAAAACCTATCTCTTGAATAAAGTATCAAAACTAATTATTTAATTTTAAAACTGTAATTTTTCTCGTTTAAAAATTTAATATTAAAACTTATATTTCTATAAAATTTTATTTATAAGCTTATTATTCAAAAATTATAATCTGTATTGTTTTATTATTAATAAATGCAAAGATTTATGATGAAGTTACTTATAAAGAATTCAATCTGATTAGCCCTTTTAATATGATAATTAATTGTGTAAAAATTTGAAAAAATTTTTTAATTAGAATTCTTATGAATTTCTGAAAAATAGAGTCCAATTAAAATCTCAGCTTAGATTTTCTTTAGTATAATATCAAACATGAGACTTTAAATTTTGCCTAATGAGGATAATGATAATACTTATTATAATTCAATAATATAATCGATAATATCAAAATTGAAGTCCCACCATTTATAAATTCAAATTTGCTGCCTTATATTAAAGTCATTTAAAATTGGGTTTGGTTAATAAAAAAATTATATTTTTTAATAAATGAAAGACCATAGCGAAGAAACATAATCTATAATTTATTAATGGAAGCGCAAAAGAATTTACAAAAGAAAAGTAGCGACATAATTAATATCATTCTCAGATGATTAAGAATTGAGAAATCATAAAAAATTACTCGCTTAGAAAATACTTTCTAATATAAAGAATAAATTATATTGGAATTGAACCTTAATTATGGTAGAGTGAACAAATGATTTGAATTTTGTTTATATGTATTTTAATTTAAATTTGTTCACTATAATTAACTAACATTTAAATGATTATTCTCATAAATTTGAATTTAGCGCTTTAACAATATATTAAATACGTTTATTTGTGAAATTATATTCCTAGACTCTAAATAAGAATAGATAAACATGCTTCAACTTTTAAAATCTCTTCTAATAGGCATTTTTCTAAATAGACATTTGGTATCAAATTTTATATTTCCTATTTTTCACTAAATAAATGAACAAATATATAAATTATGATGTATTATTTTTATTAAAATATTGAGCTCATCCTTTCTTCCAATTTATCTCAAAAAAAAAATGAAACAATAAAATGAGACTGAAGACCATAAACTTTAAACAAACTAAAATTCTTTGATTCAAAGTTAGAGTGAAGAACCAAAAACAGTATTGATTACTAAACAACAACCATTTTAATTACAATCCAATTTTAAAATGTTAGCTTACAAAAATGATATAGAATGCTTACAGAATCTTTAGAAATTCAAGCACAACTTAGCCAAGAAAATAATAAAAAAATCAAAAAATTTATGAAAAACTTTTGATTTTCCTAATTTATTCATTAACACAATTGTCATTATTTAAATGTTCCTTTCACTTAAGGAATAAATTATTTATTTGTATAAATTAAAAAAACTAGACTTCTTCGAAATTTTTTTTCTCAATTATGCTTATGATCAGTATTACTAGGTTTTTAATAAATCTAATATTACAAATAAAATAGTAAAAAACGAGAATAGTCAATAGACTTAAATCAGATTTATAAAAAAATATATATTTCTTAAATGTTTAAGCATCTCAAAATTTTTTCTTACTTTAATATAAAATATTCAAATGAAATTAAAATGAAACAATGTCTTCAATTTATAAATAAATACTAATTACCTTTACAGTTTAAGTATTCCATCCTATAATAAAATTTATCGCTCTAAATGAATGATTTTGGGTATTATTTAAAATTAAGGAATGATATTAACAAAAAATTGATCCTTCAATTTTTTTTTATTATAAAAAATAATTTTTTTTTTGCATTTAATGAAAATTCAGCTTACAGCACTGCTTATAGTGAAAAAAACTTTAAGCATTGATCCAGATCTTCAATATTATCAAGAACAATAACTCATAAAAGAATTATAGTGTCTTTTTAACTTCAAGAATATGAGTCAAAAGAATTGTTTTGAAATTAATGATAATTTTACTTTCTTGAACTTTTATTGCTTAAAGTAAGTTATTTTAGGAATTTATATAAGAGAGGGCATATCAGTTATAATAGTTCATCTCAAATAATATGATTATTTTCTTCTATAATGATATCTTAATATCTATTTAATAAGAAAATTACAGATTGTAAATTAGCCTTAATATATATGGATAAAACTTTCAAAAATACTTTAAATAGGGTTTATAATAATAATATTATTTTTAATAATATAATAAAAGAATTCGCGGGATTTTCCATTTAATGTTCTAGAAAGATTTACAAATTTATACTAGGAATTAGATTCTCGAATCAATAAAATTGATGAAAGATTAAGATAAGTCAAACTTAGAAACAGAGATTATATAAAAATAGAATATCAAGATGACTGAAGAATCTCTTTTGTTATTTAAAAAAGAATTAGCTAGGAAAATAGTGAAAAAATGATTGGATTATAAGGCAAAGAAATTATACATGATTGATTAATGAGTTTTTCCTTGAATACTTCTTTAAAAAAAAAGAACTTTCTTTTTTTAATATATATTTTTCATAGTATTTTACTTTTATAGATTCTAATTAATCTAGAAAAAAAAGTTATTTATAATAACCAACATCTTTTACAGCAGAAATGTCTCCATTCTTTGATCAACTTCCAACTTTTCTTTAATATCTTAAGCCTTAGATATTTCTTTCATTTTCATATATAGTAAGTCCAACCTATAGAGAGAATCAGAAGGCAAGGGATTTGATTCCAACTCAAGAATATAAGGTCTAAATAAGTGATAATCAGTACTTATGAATTTCAATATCCCAATAAGTAATATTATCAAATTGTAAAATTGAAGTCCATCTACCCTAAATATTGATTTTGTATGTGTCTAAAATTTCTTAAGGTAAAATTTTTAATTTAATGCCTGAATTAGTTTTGTGAGCTTTTAAACATTTTTAAATGCATTC